TTTTATAAGTAAAAATATATTAGAAAAACGTTCAAAAGGGGAATGCGTCCCTAATACAAGAAAAAAGGTCTAAGGACCAATAGAATCCAAGAGATCAAAGAAATCATCAATCGAGAAGCATGTATTTCCTCTTACATAACAGAACAAAGAACGAAGAATATGAATTTTAAAATTAGCTAAAGACGATTCTTTTCCTTCAAAGGATCTGTTATTCCTCTCACGCCACAATCACCACCAGACACGATGTGGAACAATCTTCCAATAATCACGAGCTTGTTCTTTGACAGGACACCTTTTCCAAACGTTAATCAATTGAGAGGAGTGTTTAGGCATTACCCAAAAAACGCCAAACATGCTAAAAATAAAACTCCAACAATCATATGCCACAGGACAATGCAAAAGAATGTGATCCACGGATTCACTATCAGCTTTACATAAACAACACCAATTAACAATGATGTTGCCTCTCTTTCTCAAATTGTCCAATGTCAAAATCTTCCCCAATGTGGCAGTCCAAACGAAGAATGCCATTCGAAGAGGAGCTTTAGAGCTCCAAACAGACTTCTTAGGGAACTTAAGACCAACGAAATTGGACAAACAGAAGAACATAGAGCGGACACCATACCGACCATGAGCTAAAGGAACCCACAAAATATCATCACACCCTCTGCCAATATCCTTGTCTATTCAACATATCCAAAAAAACACAAGCTTCCTCCATTTCCTAATCCTTAAAGAGCCGCCTAAACCGCACATCCCACGTAACTCCATTGTTATCAAGTTGATAACAATCAATCACGTAAACATGCTTATTGGCTGCAATACTATAAAGTCTAGGAAAGGAGTGAGATAGGAACTGATCGCCGCACCAAAGGTCCTCCCAAAAACGAACATGTCCGCCATCACGAACTTTGAATCTAATATGTGTGGAGAAAACATCCCAACCCTTCCGAATGAATTTCCACACACCAACGCCTCCCGTAATGGTGATTGGAAGAGATGACCAGCCCCTACTCTCCTCACCAAAACGACACGAGACAACTCTTCTTCACTGACGATGGCGTTCCCTTCCAAATCTCCATAGCCACTTTCCCAAGAGAGCACGATTAAAAGGAACGATTTTTCGAATGCCTAACCCGCCTAACCTCAACGGTTGGCAGACTTGATCCCAATTAACAAGATGATACTTAAACTCCTCTCCCCTTCCACCCCAGAGAAAATCCCTCTGAATTTTTTCAATCCTTTCAGCAATAAAGCATGGAATTTGAAATAAAGATAAAAAATAGGTAGGAAGGGATGAGAGAGTGCTCTTAATGAGTGTGACTTTTCCTCCCTTAGATAGATACTGCTTTTTCCATCCTACTAATCTTTTCTCATATCTATTAATCACTGGATCCCAATTCGCAACTCATGTAGAGGAAACTCCCAAAGGCAATCCTAAGTAAGGAAGAGGAAAAGAACCAACTCTACACCCTAGGACAGCAGCTAAGGAGGAAATATCTGGAACATCCCCCATTGGGACAAGCACAGTTTTTCCGACATTAATCTTTAACCTAGAAACTGCTTGGAAGCAAGCGAGAGTGCAACACAGATATCTGAGTTGAGAAACTTCAGCATCACAAAATACCAAAGTATCATCAGCAAATAATAAATGGGAAATCTGCATCTGATGTTCAACGTCTCTGCCAACTGTGAACTCCCTGATATAACCCAAATTTTCCGCTTTTCTCATTAACCTGCTCAGACCTTCCATGACAATGAGGAAAAGAAAAGACGATAATGGATCTCCTTGACGCAGACCACGCGAGCTAGCAAAAAAACCCGTAGGTGAACCATTCACGAGCACAGAAAACATAACTGATGAGATACAAGTTTCAATCCATTTTATCCACCTATCACCAAACCCCATCTTCCGAAGCAGATATAGAATAAACTTCCAATTAACATGATCATAAGCTTTCTCAATATCAAGCTTACACAAAACGCCAGGAACGCCACTTCTTAATCTAGAGTCAACACATTCCTCGGCAATAGGAACAGAATCTAAAATCTGCCTCCCACCAACAAAAGTATTATGTGATTCTGAAATGAGACCATCCAAAACATTACTCATCTTGGAAACAAGAACCTTGGCAATAAGCTTATACAAACATCCAATTAAACTAATTGGCCGAAAGTCCTTAATATTAGAGGCACCGCCCTTCTTGGGAATGAGACCAATAAAAGATGCGTTCAGAGATTTCTCAAATGTGCCATGAGAATAAAAATCCTGAAAGGTGCCCATTACCTCAGCTCGCACCACCTCCCAACTCTCCTTAAGAAAACGCATAGTGAACCCATCTCGCCTTAGAGCTTTGTCCCCGTTACAACTAGAAAGTGCCTTAAGCACTTCCTCCTCCGTGAATGGAATCTCAATTCTATCACTATCCAGCGCAGAAATTAAATGGAAGACCATCAAGAGTAGGTCTCCAATCCAAAGTCTCAGTGTAGAGCTGCTGATAAAAAGAGGCGATTCCCCCGCGCACCTCGTCCTCCCTCCACAATTCAGAACCATTGACCCGGATACGTCCGATGTGATTACATCTTCTATGAGCATTGGCAAGTCTATGAAAGAATTTTGTATTACGATCCCCAACTTTTAACCACAAAGCCCGAGACTTCTGGCGCCACGAAATCTCCTCCATAAGAGTAATCTCAGCAAAAACCGCTTGGCAAGAGGCTCTTTTAAAGCGTAAATCCCCACTTTGTCCCGCCTCATCAAGACGATCAAGCTCAGTAATAACAGCAAGAACTCTATTCTTCTTCCAAACAAGATTCCCAAACACTTCTTTATTCCACCTCTTTAACTCAGTTTTAAGAAACTGAAACTTTCTAGCTAACACATAACTAGCAAAGCCTGTGAAATTCGCTTTCTCCCACCAAGACTGAACCTTCCCTTGAAAGTCCTCGAATCTAAGCCACATGTTTTCAAAACGGAAAGGAGTGTGTCTAGAACTCAAGCCACCACAATCTAAAACAAGCGGCACTTGATCAGATGTGACTCTAACCAACACAGCTTGAGAGACATCCGGGAAATGCTCTTCCCAAGCCCCAGAAATCAGAAATCTATCCAACCGGGAAAAAGTAACCAGTTCCCTACTATTAGACCAAGTAAAGGCCGCTCCTTCCAATGGTAAGTCAATAAGGAAATTACTGTCAATGAATTATGAAAACATGGTCATTTCTGAAGACCACCTGCCCCTGTGGACCTCTCAAATGGGGATCTAACAGAATTAAAATCCCCACCGAAGCACCAAGGCAAAGACCATAAATCCTTAACATAGCAAAGTTCTTCCCACTGGACTGGCTTATCACTATTAGTAACAGACCCATAAACACCTGAAAACACCCACCTGAAATTGTCTTCCTCCATCTGAAACATACAAGACACAGAGAAAATACCCTTCCAACAATTCAGACTTGACAACCATCTTCGATCCCATATGCAAAGAATGCGACCTGAAGTGCCTGTTGCATTTAACACTTCCCAGTCCACAAACTTACCTCCCCAAAGACTCCTGACAATCTCAACAGTAATATCAGCCACCTTAGTTTCCTGTAAACAAACGACTTGAGCACTCCACTTCCTCAAAGCTACCTTGACAACTCTTCTTCTTTTTGGATCATTAAGACCACGAACATTCCATGTTATAAGTCGTAGCTTCATTAAGAACCAAAAACAATCAATTCTCCTCCTCCTCCCCGTTTACCACTTCTGGTTCTTCCCCTTTCTTTGGTCGTCCCATTCTTCCCGTTATAATTAACACAAGAAATCAGATTCGTCACTTCCTGTTTGCCTTTCCGCTGTGAATTTCTGACTTTGACTTCTTTTGTGTTACGATTTGGTTCAGTACTACCATTTCCTGCATTTCGTGAAGAATAGACAAGGTTTGTTCCTCATAACCTTCTGCAGAAACACCCAAAGCTTCACTTACTGCTCCAATATTCTCAATAACCCATTCCATACCCAGATCACTGGTTGTCTCCAAACAATCTGGCCGCACGACTGCCAGAGGTTCCATTAAATCCACTTCAGCTTGATCAAAGTCCGTCCCGGAAAAGGAATCATTAGAACAATGCTGCTGAGAAGGAACATCAACCACTCCTAACTGCAAATTCCCCTGTTTGATGTGATATGTTAAATTTCCTTTTTTCTTAGCTATACTGTTACGGATAAAATTAACTAGTGGCTAGAGGCATTCAATGTCTTACCTGAGTTTTATTGGAGTCGAGATTTTATTTGAGGAAAGAGGACCAGCATAATCTTATGCGTTGTTGGTATTCCAGATCACTATATATTACTTCTAATGCTTCGAGAGAGGCCACTGATGTTGTAAAGATTTTGACCGTAGGAGATAGTGCTTTCTTTTGTGCATCTAGGGCTCCAATTTATTAGTTTCATTATGTAGGATGTGTTGTAGGCATGTCTCGCGATTTCAAATTCTATTTTTTCTTCTCTCCCGCCCTTTAGTTCTCCATTTAATAAGCAATGGAATTTCCTCAGAGAAGGAAATCATATGGCATTAAGCTCTTTGAAATGGGGTCAGAAGCTGTCATTAACCCTAGAGTTCAGCTCCCATCTGTTGCATGTTTCTCCCTTTTTCCTTGTCAGCAATTGTGGCACACTATATTACCACACAAATGGCTGCTGCCATCAAATCTGAAAAGGTGGTATTTTAGTAATTTATTCATAGCACATATGTCAGATGATGCAGCAAACTCTCACTGTATGATAGAATATGCTATGGTTCTAGTTGGTGACCTGCAACGGAAAAATGTTCCCTTAATCGAGGGATTAATTAACGCATCAGCTGCAGCCACCAAGGCAATTAACAATTATTTTTTTTGGTTGCACTCATGACGGTTTGCTGTAGCAGCTCACGAAAAGTGACCGATGAGTTCAATTTCTCTGATGTATTACAAGATTGAATCATTCAGTTACTGTTCTTTTTGTATCGCAGTTTCAATGGAGTTCCAGCTGAGGAACGGCTTCATTGGCGATCTTTTTTAGTTAAACTGGGATCGGAAAATCTCAAAGGAGTAAAAAATGAAGAGCTTCTTGTTGCTTGCCACAAGTATGTATTGTCCCTCTACTGATTTGAACATCTTTTATGCATGTGTATTGTCCCTCTGCTGATTTGAACATCTTTTATGTATGCTACACCATTAAGTTGTTTTCTTTCTTTATTTGGAAGTTCTATTGGAGGACTAAGATCAGGAGGACCAGGGAATGTCCTTTGGAGTGTTTCTTGTTTGGATGCTGGACATAGTTTTAACAGTTAGTCAAGTCCTGCGACATGTCCTGATTAAATAGTGTCTTTTTCTTTAGATGAAATCGTGGACTTTTTGGGTTCTTTGGGTCCACAGGACTCCTTTTTTGGTTTCTGTATTTGTATAGCTCTTGGGATGCGTTCCCCTTTTGAACGCTTTCTAATACACTTTTACTTATAAAAAATAATTTTAAAAAATAGTGTCCTTTTCTTCTATTTGATGATGTTTAGTCCTGATTATGTTTTTAATGATATGCTTCATACTTGTCTTCTGGTGGATGTTATAGTTCTTCATAAGGGATCATGATATTCTTTGATGGATCCGGCTCTTCTGTTTTTCATTAAGAAGATGCAACTGTAAAGGCTCAATTCTAATGGATATTTTTTTTTTAGCAAGCAAAGCCTTAAAAGGATTTATTTATCAGGGCAATATGTTTGGCTTGAGTTTGGTCTGAGAAAGTAAGAGAGACTCAAAATCCCTTAAACGATAGCATTTTTCTAACTATTTGGGGTCAGCTGCATGAATCCTATTTTGAGATGCTCTTTGTTAAAGAGAATAAATCTCTCTATGATTTTATGGAACTTATCTTTCTGCAATAGTTAGGGTTCATTACATTGGATGGAGTGAAAGAATTCAAATTAAGGTAGTCACTTTTTTGCTGAAAATATCCTGAAAAGAGCTAATAATATTTGAACTCACTACCAATCCGAGACTGCATATATTTGACTCTGATGGACTTGACTCAGAAAAAAACCAGACTCGAGTTCATAACTCATGAAATCATCTCAACAAAGATTAGACTTGATAAGACTCTAAAGACGCAAAGATAAAAGACAACTAATAGGCTAACTTAGTCACTGGATTAGTTCAGAAAACACCATAGTCAAATATTCTGATGTTTTAACTCAATCATTTCAAATTTGTGATACAAATGGGGAACAACATATTTTTATACACGAGCATTGAGAATGAAACTCGAAAGTGTTCGGCAATACCTTATTATGTGAATTATGCCCCATTTAGGAATTCTTCTTTTCTTTGGGGAAATGAATTAAAGTGGAAAGGACTTTTAAGGGCCTAACGTTGTGCAAAAGGACTTGAGACCATGAAGAGAGAGTATATGACCTGGGACTAAAATGATGTAAGAAAAGAAGGTATTGTGAACCTAACCCTAAGGAGACAAAGTGATATACAAGCATCCACATCATATGGCCATAACTCATAAGTACAATAGGTAACAAACATAGTAAACAAATATTCACACAAACGTTCCCGTTATACACATCCAATATATTTTATAATACAAGCATCTACAGCACACCATGCTACTGTCACATTATGTGTCACTTGATTGCTCACATCACTTATCATATAAAATTCCACCTATAACATCTGAGTATCCACATGGCATGAAAAATTTGCATCCACATTGTATTAAACATAAGCATGTATCATAACATGTTATCCAGCAAGTGCACGCAATCACGTAGGCACACATGATAAAGTCTTGTCATTGCCACGAGGTGGTCGAGTCGAGCAAGGGTGGAGGCTTCTTTAAGTAAGAGTAAGAACTAAATGGTTCGAATGAAGATCATTGCTTGGAGAGTTTCATTGAGTGGCGAATGGGTGCATAACGTGTGGGAATCCGCTGACTTGGCATTTTTGGATTGTATAAGAGCAGTTTCATTCCCACTCTTCTCAGCTTGTAGTTGGGGATTCAGAAAGAAAGAAAGCCGAGTCCCTTACAACCTTTGAGCACATAAATACATGTAAGCATCCATATCGTTTGAAGCAGAAATCTATTATTACATTTTAGCAGACATCTCATATGTCATACTGGGATTCATATAGGAAGTGCATGCCTTATGTACTGTACACATTTGCATGTCATGTGACAAATATTTACATGTGATACATGTCAATTCCACACAAGTAAGAATATTACCCACTCAATCCTATGTGGGAAAATCTTAAAGGATGGGGTTAAGGTCTAGCATATGCAAAATTACTTGGTCGGCCAACCTCTAGTGTACCCTCTGGTAAGAGCGTCCTTATACCTCTCATTGGCTTATTAAGTGGAGAGTAAAGAATAAAATAGTAGACGGCAGTTCCTTTAGTATACTTTCTAAGTATGGGTCAGAGGTCTGAGTTGGTTTTCATGATGACTTCTAGCAGTAGGAACCACACAATCAGGCCTAAGTCTTTGTTATTGAGGGGGTTAACCTAATTGCTAAATGCAGAAATCCAGTTGTAATAGTGGGGAGGGACTGACCAATGAACTGGGGTTTGTGGGATTTAAAGCAGCTCATGATGGGTTTGCACTTGTTATCTCCTCGAGCTTTCTTGAACCCTTAACCTTCCACCTTGGGAAGTGGAGGAGTTACCACCTAAAATGGTGCTTCTGTATTTTAATTTTACACAGAAATCTTTAGAAGTTATAGCTAGAACCCTAAACTATTTTTGACTTAGAAGATGAACTTATTGTAAGGCATCCCACAGCTTATATTAATGGAATATTATTCCCCACATTAAATTTAAATTTTTTTTAACAAATCTATGAATTATAAGCTTCTTAGGATCTTACATTATTTCTGACATATGCACTTGGGTTGATTTATTGTTTATTTTTCCAGATCAGTTTATATTGTTTACACAGTTCTCGGAGACGTCAGCATTTATCTTGTTGGAAAAGATGAGTATGATGAACTTGCCTGTAAGTATATATCATTTGGATTCTTTCCAGTTTTGAGATAAAGATATGGAAAGATGGAGAGAAATCATTAAAATTTGCCCATGTAAAAAATATGGTGCATATTCATTGTGGGACTAGGGAGCTAGATCTCATTAATGAATATTCTTGTGGAATCAATTGCGGATCAATGGGAATACTTCCTGTGTCTTGACATAAGGATGCCCACATGCTATATTAGGTGAGGGTTTTGGTCCTCAACAATTTTTGTAGCTTCTCACCTGTTGTGTAGAGCAACACATCACTGCAAGCATTTGATATGGAAGGGTGGGAACACCTTTCCACAGCCAAAAAAAAAAAAAAATCTAGTATGATAACTCCCTTTTTCAATGATAATGGTAGTGACTTTGGTGTGGCCTGCTGTGATTGGCTACAGATTGGCAGTTGTAGTGATAGATAGGTATTGAGAACTTTACGTGCTTGTTCCAGTACTTGATTTTTATTCTAATGTGGTTAATTTCTTTGAAGTGGCGGAAGCAATTTTTGTTATAACCACGGCTGTGAAAGATGTATGCGGGAAACCACCAACTGAGCGCCTTTTTCTGGATAAGTATGGGAAGATTTGCTTGTGTCTGGATGAAATTGTTTGGACGGTGAGGGGATGCATCAATAATTTTTGGATATAATATTTTTTTAACCAATCTGAGTTCAGAATCTTTCTAGTACTTCTTTTGGTCTCTTTGAAATATTGATCAAGTTATCTGTATAATATAATTGAGAAACCAGCACAACTCCAAGCCACCTATCCATGCACTAACAGTAGATGCCTCTGATTATATAATCTCACTGGGGGCACCTTTTGCCACCGTGTAATTGGACTGTAAACACACTCTCAAAGCTTAGAATGAAGTAGGACCCCCACACATCTGTAATATTTACCTTTCCGCTGTGCTGGTAGTGAATAAAAGAGTCATGCGCATCGTATTGAATAAGAATGGCAATCTGGTTAATAGATAGTTTTGCTTTATTTCTATCGCAATGAGCTAGCATTTCTGTTCCCTGTTGTGGCTCCTCAGATCATAAGCAGAGCTGAACTGTTGAGATCATGTTTTGGACAATGGCTGCCGTAGCAAGCTAGGAATTTTTTGTTTTTTGTTTCACATTTTTGTCAAATGAATTCATGCTTATGCTGTTTCGCCTTTTTTATTTTGTAGGGTTTGCTTGAGAATACAGACAAAGAGAGAATCAAAAGACTCGTAAGGGTGAAACCTCCGACTGACTTCTGAACCGGAAGCTTGTCAACATATCAGATCTACGAAGACAGGAGTCAGCAATGCTCAAATAGCATTTTGATTCTAGCAGTTGGTGGCCGTTTGTTGTTAGGGGTGGGGGTGGATTGGGAAATGGAGTAGCATTGTAAACCTCCATGAATCTCTCTATATTCCTGTACTGTTTGTACCTGTAGAATTGAATTGCCTTTTTTTATGTTTTGCCTGGCTATGCAATGACTGTAAAATCTTTTTGGAGGATTCTTTTTTTCTTTCTTTTTTTTTCTGTTACGATGTGCTGAATTTGATTGGTCACTGATGGCATGTCAATGAAAAAAATTCTCTTGCAAAATCCAATCATATTTATGGGATTTTCCAGAATTCCAACCTTGGATTGGTTGTCTTGGATTGGTTGTGTTGATTAGAACTTCACGCATCCATGGAGATTTTTTTTTTCTTCGTTAGCAAGAAATACATTCACACATTAACTTTTTGTCCAAACTTTGCCTTTAAAAGTGAGGAAATACTATTAGAATACAATGCTTGTATGCATATTACTGGAATTAAAATTTTCTGTTACAAACTTACTGTTGTATGACATTTTCATTTTTTGGGAGACATTTTAATTACTTGAGAAAAGTGACTTGTAATCGCCAGTGCCTCGAGGCCAATGCTTTTAATATTTGTGAGAGAATGTTTCATTGCTTATTTTCGTTAATATTTTAGATTGAAAGTTCTGATGCAACTACGAATGCTTTTGAAAATCTTTGCCCCGCATAAAAGAGAGAGACCCTAATTTGGAAGGCTATATTTGACTACTAAAAAATGACCCAAGTTATTTTGTCACACACATATATAAAAAGAGGTAATTATAATAATTCAAAAATATAGGAGGGTAAGTGTAATAAATCTTAACTATTGGGAAAGTAAGTATGGTTTATTCTAATTTTGTAAGTAATTAAATGGGTGATGACAACAATTTTAAAGATACTAATATAAGCAAACCATGGCGTCTGAAATATTGTGTTTTTTTTTTTATTATTTTTTTATTTTATGGCAAGTAATATACCTAGTCACGTCTTTTTGTGCACATTCATACTCCAATCCCACTTTCTTTCTCTTTGAGGATCATAGAAAGAGGAGGTAATACCATTGGACCACATGTCAATTGGTGTATATATTTGTCACTCTTGTTCCTAATTGACCTTACCCATTTTGTGCACTATTAAATTAACATTGCAACATATTATGATGTGTCACTCTTGTTCCTAATTGACCTTACCCATTTTGTGCACTATTAAATTAACATTGCAACATATTATGATATAACACGTAATATATCACATATGCAATAATATAGTAACACTGATGCCAGAGGTGGCTCAATCTAATTTAGAGCCTTAGGCGAAAAATATAAAGTGGTTTTTTCGACAATATAAATAAAATTAGCCACAACTCAAAAACAAAATATACAAATATATATACACACAAATTTATGACAACAAAAGTTAATAAAATTAAAAAATAATTAATGAAAAAAACCATTGAAGTTGATTTAGAAAACCCAAATCCAATACTTCTACAAATTTTTCAATAGAATAAAAATACATTCATAATAACTATAAACTAGGGGAGGAGAACACTTGCTGAAAGTAAGAAGATAAAACATAAAAATAAAAAGAACATGGAAAGTTTTAGCCAATTTCCCAAACAACAACATTAAATAGATATTTAATATTTTAATGTTGGTGTAACTTTCCCAAAACTGTTTTAAGGGTTGGTGTAAAAAACGTGAATGAGAGCGAAAGAAATAGGGGAAAAAAATTATTTAATGATACAATTTTTTGGCCCAATATTAAATTTCTATGTTTGTTAGGATTTATTATAAAACGTGAATGAGAGTAGAAAGATGGAGGGGAAAAAAAGTCATATAAGGATATAAATCAATCTTTGGGGCCCAATATTAAATTTATGTATCACTTGGAGTTCAACGAAACAAATGATGAGAGACAACATTCCCAGTTTTGTAGCCTAGGGTAGGTCCCGAAGGGCCCTTTCTAGGGGAGTTGATGAGAGAGAAGAGAAAAAAAAAGAAGAAGTTATTTTAGGATATAAATATTTGAGGCCTAATATAAAATCAGAATGAACGAGAAGAGAGAGAAAAGAGAAAAAAAGAAGTTATTTTAAGATATAAATATTTGAGGCCTAATATAAAATCGAAACTAGTGTGATAGAAAAAAAAAAAAAGAATAAGAAGAAGAAGAAGAAGAAGCTATTTTAAGATATAAATCTTTGAGGCCTAATATAATTTTTTTATATTTATTAGAGTTTAACAATATTAAGAAATAATTATAATACAACTTAATATAAATTTTTTTTAAAATTTTGAACCTTCTTATTGGCGGAGCCTTAAACACAAGTTAAAAAGATAATCCACGAGGGGTCTCGATATAAATCTTTAAGGCCTAATATAATTTTTTTATATTTATTAGAGTTTAACAATATTAAAAAATAATTATAATACAACTTAATATAAGAAAATTTTAAAATTTTGAACCTTCTTATTGGCGGAGCCTTAAACACAAGTCAAAAAGATAACCCACGAGGGATCTCGTTCGGCTCCTAGTGTAGCTCATGCCTACAAAATTTACAGGGAATTAAGAATGCACATGGTTCAATTTGGTCCAATTATGAGATAAATTTTAAAACCAAACATCAAATTGAAAATGATCGGTTCAATTTCGTTTAATGGTTTTGCACTTTCTTATATATAAATATTTATATATATTCAAATTAATCTGATGAAATATTATATATATATATATATATATATTATCCTATGTGTCGTGGTACTCCTAATATGACAAGTTATATTATATATCCATAAAAATAAAAAATATTGTATTATATGTAAAGGTTAATTTGGTTTGGTTTGATTTTCTTTTGACCTCAAACCGCAATTGAACTATTTGGTAACAATATTTTACAGTAATTTTTGGAAGTACCAATTCTAGTGGAATTTTGTGCATTGGTGTGTTTTTTTTTTTTTTTTTTTTTTTTACATGCAACCCATGAGTGTAAATAATAATAATAATAATAATAAAAAATTATGGGCGTACGAGGGTAATATTGTACTTCCAAAATTCCTCGTTTCCTATACCCTGTCCCAGTCGGAATCGTAAGTTCGTAACCCTAACTCTGCCTCTATTATTTCAGTGTCCCCTAACCCTAGATCCGTGGGTCTCTCTCTGCCTCTCTTCTTTATTTTCAATTTTGCTTCCGCAGATTCAGTAACTTCACTTCATCTCTCCCATTTAAGCTCAAGGTACGCATACGTCTCTGAACTATTCTATTTTCTCAGCAAACTCAAAACGCTAAACTTTGGTCTAAACCCTAAAAATACGAATACGTGAGTGTTGCAGGATCATGGGTGAAGTAAAGGACAACGATGCTTACGAGGAAGAGCTCATCGACTACGAGGAGGAAGACGAAAAAGCTCCCGACTCTAACAATGCGAAAGCCACTGGCGATTCTGCCAAAAAGTATTTCCTTCATCTTTTTAATAGTTGTTTGCCTGGTTAGAAATCTGAGTGGACACGATAGAAATTAATACTTGGAGCCCTTGTTTAGTCTTCTTTATATTTACCCGAGTTAGAATATTTGAGTTTAAGGGTTCTTAAGAACCAACGAAGAAACCCTTAAAACCTTATAGAATTTGATTGTTTCTGTATGTAATACGGAGTATTTTTTTTTGTTTTGTTTTGTTTTTTTTGTTTTTGTAATTTTTTTTTTCTTTGCACAGTTTCCTTTGCTACAAACACTGGCTTAGCTTATTTTGGGTCACTTGTTATACATTTATCTCATATATTCGTTTCTATGATTATTCTCGATTTTGCTGCAGCGAATACTAGGAAAAGGAAAAAAAAAAATAGTCTTTGGATGTTGGTGTTACCGTATTACTATTGTTTTGGACGTATGAGAACAAAACCCTATATTTAATGAGCCAAATACGGCTGGTATTTAATTTTTTACCAATTTCTCATTGATAAAAGTGAAAAGCAAGTATATTTAAGTACTGAATTTACTAATATGTTAGAGCTGAATGTTACAGTTGTTTGGCGCTAAATGTTCTAACATGTTTAGTGCCATATTTACTAAATATGGAAAATTGTGTGGATCATGATTTCTTAAATTAAATTTTTTTGATTAGTACAAAGACAAAAATGTGTTGGAGGGAAGGCCAATCTAGGGCTTCATTTATCTCTTTCCCAGGCATCTGTTCTATATTATTTCATTCAACTATTACAGTACCCCACCCCTCTCTGCTTGTAGTTTTGTATGATCCCTTCGTTATTGTTAGCATCATATATGAATTTCTTGGTTTCTTGATGGTATAAACTCTTAAAATGATTCTAGAAATCACCTTTCATGTCTTCAAGGTTTAGCTAAAAAACAACATGAGGCATGTTTGTTTTGTGGGATTTATTATTTCAATGGCATGTTTGTCTGTTTATATTAAATTTAAAAAAATATTTTCACTGAGCACGTTAATTAAAATCTCTCTAATTTAAAATTTAGCCATTTAATGTGAAACCTTACTTCCTTAAGTGATATCTAAATTGTTTTATCAAACATCCTGATTGAAGAGTCGACCAAGGAAATGGAAGCTATGAATTAGCGGTAGACGACGACGGAGTGCTATTCCTTTAAAGGAATCGGCTTCAAAAGCCATGATGTTGGGGGGGGGGGGGGGGGGGGGGGTGTTAGAATCTTTTGTAAAGGCAATTTCCTTGCCATTGAACTCGTTTTGGGGCTGTGGGTTTGGTTTCACCTAACCTACTTGGAGAAGCTGCCCTCTAACTCATCAGCAGGAAGCACGGGTTTAATTTTTTTTCCCAAAAAACAACATTAATTGATAAAAGTGAGTACCATCTTTGTTTTATGGCTCCTGTTAAATGGATAATTGCTTCTTCATTGTTCCTTCTCTCTTGCTAACTCTTCCAGCATCAATATGTAGATAGTTTAAATCTTCTTCTCTCCCATTATTTAAAGGATTTATTAGAATTTTAATTTGTACGACTGCCTGCCTTGTTGATTTGTAATTCTTTTCTTTTTGTTCAGTTTTTAGTTATCCTTTTGTTAATTTGTAAGCTATAGAAAAAGGAAAATGGAGTTTCATAACTATATTTGGTTTATTTGTGAAAAACTACAATGAATTTGCATCAATTTGGTAAAAAATATCAGGCTTACTTGAATGGTTGTTCTTCAGAAAGGTTCGTAATAGGCTTAGTTGATTGGACTTTTAATAGCATGGGTTTATTGGAGATCATTGTTTTTTTTATTTTTTTGTTTTTTCTGCTTGTGTTATTTTAGGAACCAAACGAGGTATTACAATTTGTTTTTTATTATATTTGATTGGCGATTTTAGTTGTTTCTGGAGTAAATTAGATTTGCTTGGGTTGGTTCATCGAGCTGTTGGTCATTGTTAGCAGTCGTAGTTGAAGCGGATGGTTGCATATGATTAGTTTTGGAAGCTTCCTCGAATTTGTATGGTGCACTGATTGTATGTAAATTTCCTATAATGGATGTGCTGTGGAGCACGTCCGAATTTCTGGAGTAATTGAATGATTTGTTTTTTAAACCTCACCTGCTGCTCCTTTTGTTTGATTCTTCTTTCTTTGAATATAAGTTAATTTGATTGGTATTCTTCTTTAGTTGGTTGGTCATGGACATTTCTTGTAGAGACTTCATGTTCTGTTTAATTAGCTGGATACAACCATATATTCTTCTTTCTTAATCCTAACAATGCTACTATCTCAAATTGGACCACCACTTTCTATTCCCTTCGGCCAAACATTTGGGTTGAATTGGCTCCTCGTCCATTTAGAATGGGTGTTAAATTAACATTTATCTTTAAGAGGTCCGACTTGTCTAGGACCCACAAGGATGGACGGTTGTGATTGGTTGGACGTGGTAACATTTACTAACCTAAGATTAAAAGAGCCTCCAACAAATATGGACTGTACTAGGAAAGGTTTTTTAGCTGCATTTAACTTCGAAAAGAGTTGCGTGTTTCTCTTTGTTTTCTATGCGTACTGCTGAATATTTGCAAATGCTGTTCCTGTTGGAGGTCCTCATTTTACATTAATTTTCTTATTTATTTTACATTTCTTCAATCTTGTAGTCTTCCTGATAACTAACTTTCTTATTTGTTTTGAGTTTCTTCAATTCTGTAGTCTTCCTGTTGATAGGTCAACTAACATATTTGTTTATTTTACTCTTTTGTTTTGGGTGATATAGGGGCTATGTTGGAATTCACAGTTCGGGATTCAGAGACTTCCTGTTGAAACCAGAACTTCTTCGAGCCATTGTAGATTCAGGATTTGAACATCCTTCGGAAGGCAAAATTCTAATTTTACATTTTCTTTTGGTTCTACTAGCTTGTGTCATGTAAATTATTAGCTTTGCTTGAGGACTTTGTTATGCTTGTATAATCATTCAAAATCCCTTGGTAGGCACAAAGTATACTGGTTAATCACTTTATTTCATGTATAAGAAGTTCTCTTATTGTTGAAACCTAATGACCTTGCATTTGATCTAATTTTGAGCAATGTTCTGCTAATGAAAAATCTGGATATATTATTTTGCCTATGTTCAACTTCAGAATTCGTATTTGACTTCCAATTTTTTGGCATATTGGCCTAGCAGGCCAAAACACTTCAAATACTGACAAAATTCTCTATTTTTTTTTTTTTTTTTTTGTCTGTCTTTGGATATTACAATACAGTCTGGGTGACCTGGGTCCATCATCTCTTTCTTGGCTATTTCATTTAGGGTTACTTTTCCATTCTTCAGTCTGTGAAAACATGTTTATTTTTTAGATGCATATATGTATATGTATAATATATATGTCGTAGTATTATTTTACATAGTTTCAAGCTATTGATCTGAAAAGGGGACACTGGTTTGGGGCATGTTCTGTGGCAGTGGATGGTTGCAGAGCCTGCCAAAAGTGGGTGTTGAAAGATGCGATCTCTTTTAAATTTGTCGGCTGAAGTTTAATCATTATGGGCTTGTTAGTTGTTTTTCTGTTGGTCATTCAAGGACAGGTTGCGTTTCATGTCTGTCTTTATGATGTTTCACAACTTATATTTTACGAGTCTTTGTGGCACGTTTATGCTTGTGCGTTCTCTTAATTTTCTTTCAAACCTTATTTGTACTCTGCAGGTAATCACTATTTCTATTCATGATTTCGGCAAGAAAACTGGTTTGGTAAACCTTTCCATTAAAAGGATCTGGAAGGTAATTTATACTTACTGAGGATTCGTCCGCTCCGATTTTGTTTGCTTCTTCATCAGTGCAACACGAGTGCATACCTCAAGCTATCTTAGGAATGGATGTCATCTGTCAAGCAAAGTCTGGAATGGGGAAAACTGCTGTGTTTGTTCTATCTAGTCTACAGCAGATTGATCCTGTTCCCGGTCAAGTTGCTGCTCTTGTACTTTGCCACACAAGAGAGTTAGCTTACCAGGTATGTCTTGAATATCTTGATGTTTATTTCGAATTATGACTGTTGAAAGCTTTATCATTCTCATGCTTGCTTATGCCACATATAACTGGGTTTTATGTTTCCAAGAATGCAATTCTAGTTCCTAACTGATTGTTTCTTTGCTTCTGCAGATCTGTCATGAATTTGAGAGGTTCAGTACGTATTTGCCTGATATAAAGGTCGCTGTCTTCTATGGTGGTGTCAATATCAAGATTCACAAGGATTTACTGAAGAATGAGTGCCCACATATTGTCGTTGGAACACCTGGAAGAATATTGGCTCTTGCAAGAGATAAAGACCTTGGATTAAAGAACGTGAGGCATTTTATCCTGGATGAGTGTGACAAAATGCTCGAATCCCTTGGTAAGTTTTGTTTAATTTGTTTTAGGATTTTTTACAAAATTTATCCTACATAATTTTTTGTTATATGTATATATTGTGTATATTCCTATAATTTGTTATGCTTTTGTTTTCAACAGACATGAGGAGAGATGTGCAGGAGATTTTCAAGATGACACCACATGAAAAGCAGGTCATGATGTTTTCAGCTACACTCAGCAAGGAGATCCGTCCAGTTTGCAAGAAGTTTATGCAAGATGTAATACTCTATTGCCCTTGCAATTTGAATTTGGAACAAACATTAGAAAACATCTATGTATTCATAATATTAATGTGTGTCATCTCTTGAATTACCTGTTTCCAATCTTGAATTTGGATATAAAACCATGTTGTTAAAATCATTATCCTTCTTTTGTCCTTGGTGCCCTTAGGGTTGGGTACATAATTGTAATATATTATGCTATAAAAAAATGATTGTAATAATATATGTGCATATGAAGAATTTCCATAGACAGGCATACCACTTATGAAAGATAATAAAAGAACTAATACTTAACATATGGAATATATAAAGTTCTCAAAGTGTTTCCTAATTATTTTGGTCATATTAATCCTCATGCACAAACACACAAAAAAAAATAATAATAAAAAAGTTGCAAAGCTGTGTGTTAAAGATTAAATATAATAGTGAATTATCATTTATTAATAATTCTACATTCTTTGAAAAAAATTAACTTCTATATGAAAAAAGAAATACCTGTGCCACTTGTCCATGGAAGGTTATGTAATAGACTGCAGGGGAAAACATAACATATATATAGAGAAATATTGAAGTTGATGGATTGAATCAATGTTTATAAAGCAAAATTGTCCCCTTCATCCGCTGTAGTCAATGTGAGTAATCAAATGGCCCAATTTAGTTGGTAAAGTGGTTGATTAATTTAAATCAGACTACAATAATCGTTTTGAAGTAAAAAATAATAAGAAAATTGTGGGTGTTTCTGTCATTTTGGAATGCTATTCGACTTATAATAAAAAAGGGATGTTATTTGGGTCTTGGGTCCCAGCTTATAAAAAAATTGAATAAAAATAAAATAAAATAAAGTTTGAATCTGTACATTTGGATTGGTATAATTGGAAGTCGAATTGGGAACCAAAATTCCTGTGACAATGTAGAAATTTCACAAGGATTCTACAGTTCTACTCTATTATAGGATCATAGATTTGTTTAACCAACATGGGTATGACACCAAGATGCCCTTTTTTTTCTTGTAGTAAATTTCATTTATGAATATTTATGTATTTTTCATGTATTTATAATTTATTATTTTCTTCAGTTTATCTAAAGAACTCGAAATTTCTTATGCTGTAGAAAAGAAAAATGTGCAGTACTGTATGATAATACATGTCATATTATATTTACAATACTGAATTGCTAATATTAGATTCGATACAATCATAGTGTTAACTCTGACAATCAGTAGAGAAGTTGATCCCTTGTGTCATCTTTCAAAAGGATCAGAACCTAAAATTATCGATTGTTTAATGCTTTGTCTTCCCGTTTTCATTCATTATGTGGTATCCTTAACCTCTGTCTTTTTCAGCCTATGGAGATTTATGTGGATGATGAGGCCAAGTTGACTCTTCATGGTCTCGTACAGGTACCTTGTAGTTATCAAATTGTGATTTAAATTATTTAAATTTGTGTTTTGTGCTCATTCACTATTGGTATTATTTTTCAGCATTACATTAAATTGAGTGAGCTGGAGAAAAACCGCAAGCTTAATGATCTACTTGATGCCTTGGATTTCAACCAAGTTGTCATTTTTGTCAAAAGCGTCAGCAGAGCAGCTGAGCTGAACAAGCTACTTGTGGAGTGCAACTTCCCTTCCATCTGCATACATTCTGGAATGTCCCAGGAAGAAAGGTTTTTCCCTATAACTCTAATTCCACAGTTCCACTCAGTAATGCTTGATCAGTTTGATGTTTAATTAAGTTCATATATGGTTGTTCAGTGCTCGTCTAGGCCCCCAAAAGGCCCTATCTTGTCAAGGTTCTGTTGCCTCAACCTATTAGAGGTGAGGCTATTTTAGTCGGTGCATTATGCATATTAAGGCCTCAGATGTGTGTGTGTGTGTGTTTTTTTTTTTTGGGGTTCCGGGGGGGGGGGGGGGGGGGGGGTTCCCTTTCTATTTTAATTGTCTTTTATGATCATATTTGATAGGTCATATGGTTTAATCCTGTTCGTTATCTGGTAAATATATGAATTGCAGTACATGTGTGAAGTGTGATTTTAATTATTTATGGTATTTTTATGGTAATATAATATATGTTAATAATCTAGGTGTTTTGTAAATGCATATTTGGAAGGTATTTGATTTACATCTTGAAAGGATAGTATGCATCACTTTAGCTGACCACCTTAGTTGATAGAGCCCAAAAAAAAAGGAAAAAAAAAACTCTTTAATTTTGTTTTGACAGTTTTTGTGCTGTGTGTTATGAATTGTTTCAATTATAATTGGTTTGAACTGAATGCAATGAGTCTAACGAATGCACTGTTGATTTGGCTAACTCAATGAATTTCATATGCTTGAGAATTCCTTCACTTTAATTTTAAATGTTGTTACTGTTGTGCTAATGTAGCATGCTGTGTTCATACTATTCTATAAATGAACTATTCTGTTATTTTAATTTTAATTTTAATTTTAATCTACTTAGATTTTACCTTGTGTTGAGATGTTTGATGTCAATAAATAGAATTGGTTCATTATGGTTTTAAAGTATGTTAAAGGGCTTGTAATGAATCTAATGATCTTAATGGAGTTGGTGGATATTGAATTATGCATGCAAACCTAGTAATTTATGCCCCCTCTAAAATAATTTCCACGGAAATTGCACATAAAGTGGTTAGACCACTAAAGTGACTCCAAAACTATAGTTTCCTTGCAAAACCGAATTAATTGATTCTCTTGTCTCAACAGAACATAATTTATTTTCCACAATACCCAATCCTAATAGAGCTTCCAACAAAGGACTCTTCATTCTTTAGAAGGCTGTTTTAATGGCAGTGTGCTCTGTTGTGCACAATTATTTTCTAATATTTTGACTACTATTGATGCTGGGAAACTATGTTGGTTGTGAAAAATTATTATTCAATATTAGTATGTGCATACACATTTACGCATATGCTTGTTTAAGTGTGTGCATGTGCATTTGTGTGCTTTTAAAGGTTTTGGCTACGGAGATTACTCGGAATTTGTGGTAGTTATAGTCAACAGACATGCTTCACTATCCTTGTTATAGGAAATAAAACTTCTATGAATGTAGATACACCTTGTTATCACCAATATGGGAGGATAATAGAAACACTGTTCACACTTCTAGATTTTCATTAATTTCCAATGAACTAAAGCTGGTTGTTATATGAGAATTGTTCTTTAACTTTAGGAAACAATTCCAATGCTTTAGGTTAAGTGGTACCACCTCTTTTGTAAGTGAGGTTGAGGGTTTCTTTCAATGGGGCATAAGGGGGCTTGATGATTTAGGAAACAATTTTAATGCCATTATAATACTAAGGGATTGTTGGCAGAACCTTACCATTATGTCTAACCGTTTTTAGGTCAACTCGTCGTATCATGCTAAGGAAAAGAAAAACGGATATGGAGATGGCAATGGATATGATGGTATATAAATTTATTACAATATTTAATGAGGTCCAAACCCCTTATCATCTTCGTTACTATACATGTCTCATTCCGCTGTTTCCAGATTAATCCATCAAAGGAATCCCGTCAAATAGGAATGTGAAGACGGGTTCTCTCTTTGTGTGTGTATTGTATATTTTTTAAGTAAGCCCATATTTCCGCCCGAGTCATAACATTGTGAGTAAGAGGCTGCGTCCAGTCGTAGTGTTGAGTAATGTGTGTGCCTATTAGATATAGTATATGTGTGTTGAGTGACTTGAGTCCCACCATGATATAAGGAGGCTGTAACTAATTGCTGCAATGTTGTGACTTGACAAATTTAGTATCGCTCCAAAAATATACATTACATTGGATTGAATTCATGCAATGAAACAAATATAATAACACCACCAATATGTATATATATATATACTCCCCAAGTTATCTTGTATATTCAACAATGTCATGTTAATTTAAATTAATGTCGCAAACGAAATCCTACTTATCCCTGAATATAATCCCCTTGTTTCAAATTACTATCACATTATAACAATTCTAGTTATTCGGTTGCAATACATTGTTTTTGCTCATCTATAGTTTCATTATTTAAAAAAATAAAAAGAAATCTTCAAATACACAAACAATATATACATGGACATAGTATTGTATTAAGTGAAGATGGCGAACAAGAAACAAGACCAAACTTGGGTGAGAGAGTGAAAGATATCCAGATCGATGTTTTTGATGAAGTTGGCATTGAAGTTTTTGAGCTCACCATGTAGGATGCTCCAAATGGGTGGTTTGGGGATTAGGAGGCTAGTGCCTATTATAAGGCTCTTATGGGGCAATGGTTGTGGAGTTTTGGTGCTTAACATTATAGGCTATGGAGTCTCATCACTAGCCGTTTTGGGGAGGGGAGCGGTGGTTGGTGCTCCCTTGCAATGTGCAAGTGTTTGCAAATTCATCCGGAAGGGCTGGGATGATTTTTTTGAAACATATTAGATTCCAGGAGACTTGGTGTGGTGATTGTCCGCTCGCGTGTTCTTTTCCTAGGCTCTTCACAATTGCTTTTGATAGACACACCTTGGTTGCTGACTGTTATCAGCTTAATAGTGGGAGGATGACTTGGGATGTGCGCTTTGAGACATTTCCAGGTTTGGGAGCTGGACGACGTTCTTGGTTTATTAGAGGAGTTGTACTGTTAGGAGATCTTGTTTGGGTACCCTCTTCTCAGGGAGGTTTGACGTGCACTCTCTTTATAGGCGTATTTTGGATGCTTTGGGGCCTAGCTTCTTGTGGAAAGTTGTTTGGCTATCTAAGTCTCTCCTCAAGGTGGCCTTCTTCGTTTGGACAATGGTGTTGAGGCGGATCTTGACATGAGATAATCTAAGGAAAAGTCCATTGTTTGTTGTCAATTGGTGTTGTATGTGCAAAAGAGATGGAGAGTTTGTTGATTATCTTTTGTTTCACTACTCTATGGCCCGGGACAACTGGGATCTATCTTGGTTTTTTTTTTTGGGTTCAATGGGTCATGCATCGGTCCTCGAGAGCTTGATTGAAGCTTGGAGATGACGTATGCTCGTGACTTTTGGAGGGTCGCGTTCTTATGTGTTTGATGGTACTTATGGAGGGAGAAGAATAGAAGATCTTTTGACTGGGAGGAATCTTGTATTGGGGCTCTGAAGTTCTATCATGCGCTTTTTTTTTTGTTGGGTCTTTGGGAGATATTGTAATTTGTAAATCTTTAAAGCAGGTTGAATTTCTTTTTGGGGTACTTTGGGTTCTTAGGGCCCTATTTGGTCCTTGTGTAGCTTCTTCTAGATGTGTTCCCCATTTGATTGCTTTTTAATACAATCTTACATATATAAACAAAAGTTATTGAGTTCATAATTGGTGGCATTCTTGCGCTAGAGCTTGGGGTCTCAGCCTACTTCTTGTAGGACTTTGTGTTCGAGGATTGCAATGATGGCAATCACTTTCCTATGTTGAATGTGAAGAGCAAGATCTTGTCCAAGGTCATGCAGTACTTCAAGAAGCACGTCATAACCCCAAACTCCGGTGTCAAGAACGCCGCTGACATCGACTCAAGAACTTTGACGCCGACTTTATTAAAAACATTGATCTGGATACCCTTCTCTCTGTCAACCAAGTTCAATCTCTCTATGATTCCATTGATGGTCACTTGATGATCTAATCCTGACTGTTTTTTGTTTGCCATCTTCACTTAATACGATACTATATACATATATATGTGTGTGCATTTGAAGATTTTTAAAAAAAATTTTAATTATTGAAACTATGGGTAAGAAAACACAATAGTTTTTGGTTATTTTAGGGGAAGGTGTTGGGCACCCTTAGACACCCATACTTCCATATTGCTTGTAAATGTGACATTGCCTAGAGGTGAGACCAATTCATCAACGAAAGGGGTCTCTGCCCTCAATAGGCGTCACTAGGATGGAAGGGTGTGTGGAACATAGAAAATATGAGTTTGGCATGACCAAACCTTGGACCTACCCGAGTTGCCTATGTACCTCAGTTATGCATTTCTTTTTTCCTAGTTGGTACTCACACACACTTGTCTTTCCTGAGACTTGAACCCCTGACCTTCTTTTGGGAAGTAAGAGGCTGATACCGCTAGGCCACTGGCCAGTTCAGTCATGCATTTCATGGTGAGAATTAGGTTGAACTTAGTGCGATTATGACAATCTAAACAATGGATGGAAGATTTGGAGTGGTGTGACCGAATTTAGAGGATGCGTTGTGAATAGCGTGGTCAAATGTCGTTCGGGCTAATGATTTGTGAACTTATGAGTTCTAGTGGAATAGGGGACATACGAGTCCTAAGAGAGAGGGATGAGGACATCCGAGTCCCAAGTGGAGTTCTATATGGCATAGGAGGCTAAAAGGTGAGATGTGAGTCGAAGGAAGGTCCTAAAAGGACATACAAGCCTAAAAGGAGAGATGTGAATCAAAGGTAGATCCTCAAGGACATATGAGCCTAAAGGAGGGCTGTTAGTCGATGGTAGATCCTAAAGGTTATATGAGCCTAAAGGAAGGCTGTTAGTCTATGGTAGATCCTAAAGGGTATACGAGCCTAATGGGTGATATTTGAATTGAAAAGAGTTCCTAAACGGCATCAGAGCCCAAAGGATGACATAGAAGAGTGCTTTGAAGATCATTTATCTATTGCAACTAAAAAATATTAATAAATTTTATTTTATTTTATACTAAGAATGCATAACATGGAAGTATATAATTCAACCATAGATTATTGATTAATTTTGATTTTTATACTACGAGTTGCATAATGCGGAAGGTGAGGCTAAACAAGTTAATCTCATTAGGATTATTTTTACCATGCATATTGTTTTTGTCATTATAATTATATGTATATGCTCCAAATTAAGAAAAAGTTCATGGATGCTTGAATTGTGGTGGCGATGGAAGTAAGGTTGGCTCTGCGGGGTGTTTTTGTAATTTGTCTTGTTCTGAATAGTGTTGGTTAAAGTTCTTTTCAAGACTTGTTTTGAGCTACCTAAATCATTTGGTTGTGTATCTGGGATGGGTGTAATGCTGAAAGTAATGAAATTCAATTTTGAAATCATTGACACTTCATGAGGGTTGTGAATGTTACAAGTTTCGGCATTTACATGTGTCTGAAATTGAAAAGATACCTCAATAGAAGTGACCATGCTTCTTAGTGGTCTTTTCATATTTTCTACTGCTTAATGGCAAAGATTTTGGTGATATCTGATTATCATTGTCGTCTCTTTTTCCAGGTTGACACGGTACAAGGGTTTCAAGGAGGGTCATAAAAGAATTCTAGTGGCAACCGATTTGGTTGGAAGGGGAATTGACATTGAGCGAGTCAACATTGTTATCAATTATGACATGCCAGATTCAGCTGACACTTATCTCCACAGGGTATGTACCATTTATGTTTGACTATAATAGGAGGGGCTGCTGATATATGGTGCTCAAAACCACAGTTGAATAACTTGCGTTCTCCTGGGGTTTCTAATTCTGGACAGGTGGGAAGAGCTGGTAGGTTCGGGACTAAAGGGCTTGCAATTACATTTGTCTCTTCTGCTTCGGACTCTGATGTTCTTAACCAGGTGACTTGACCACTTTAATTACACTGGACAATGAAGTTCAAACATTCCTGATCAACATCTCCACATTTGGTCACTTGTTCTGTTGATATCCCATTTATTCTATTAATCTTGGATTAATAAATTATTACAGGTTCAAGAGAGGTTTGAGGTGGATATAAAGGAGCTTCCGGAGCAAATTGATACTTCTACATATAGTACGTGTCTTACTATTCAATGATTTTTCTGCTAGCTTGTGGACTGGCAGTCTTATTTATTTATTTTTTAGTCCATTTTCCTCTGTTCTGTTTTAGGACTTAAAATTATTTTAGATTGTTTGTTATGCCATTTTATTTACTTTAATCTTTGAAGTAATGTCATTTGTATTTCTCAACTTTAAGGATTTAGTGCTGTTTAGGGTAATCTGATGTATTATTATATCATGGTCTTACTGCGAGTTCTCTATTTTGTAGTGCCATCGTGATGGAGAAGGAAAATGTTCCATATAATCTTCCAAGAAGCATGGGTGGAAAAGGTTCTCAGGAGGTGTTTACAATCTTTCCGTTAATAGTGGCAATGTTCGGGGTGGGTCTTTTGAAGGCAGCTGTTAGGGATAACACAGAGATTCAGTATTTACTTGCGTTTTTAAGCTATTAAGCACTATTATTTATTAGAGTTCCAACTGATGGATGTTTTGGGGAAAACTAATAGCTGAATTATATTGTAATATGTGTGGTAGTTTATTGAAATTTTGCTGGCACTTTAGGATGGCGTTTTGTTTCTTCTCTGGTTAGGAACGTAGGATTTTAATATTTAAGCCTCCTTTGTTTTAACGAAAGTCGTTTTTCAGAAAAAAAAAAAAAAAAAAAAATGTAATTTTCACAATTTCAGGTGTTTGGTTGCACGGAAAATGGTAAAACTTCGTATTGATGCAAAAATTTGATGCAAAAATTTACTTTCTTTTTGACCATCAAATGACTTGCGGATGCAAAGTCCTCAATGCATTGGATTTGGAATGAAAACAAATTTAATTCAATTTTGACCTAATATTTTTTTCAATCCTAAATTCAAGGGGCCCAATGACTACCACTCTTCTTCTTCACTCAGGGTAAAAGCCTCGTGACGCTCTGTTGCTGCAGTGTCTTGGGTTATATTCAACAATTAAGGGCATCCTTGATTTGTAAATTTGAGAATAGAAAATTATACAAAATTTTTAGTTTGGTTCACTTGTAAAATTTTTTTTTTTAGAGAATTGTTTTTATAGTTATTTCAGATTTACAAACCAAACAGGTCTTAATTTTTAGACCCTTGTACCCTCTCAATGGACAATGTCACTGCTACCCTTGTTACATTGGAAAATTTTGTTGTTCAATCTCCAAATAAAATTTATTTGCCCCAAAAAAAATTGAAATTATGGTGTAGTCAATTGTATGACTAAGCCATTAATGATGATTTATAATTTCCAAACTAATTGGCACACTTAATTACCCAAAAAAAAAAAAACACTAGGTATACATAATACCAACTTTTCAATCATAATGGAGCAACCTAACCTTCATTTGCACAGAAGGCTATTAAAACACACACGCCAATTTTGAACAAAACATACACACCAACATTGCTCTGGTATTGTGAGTTACTCCCAAAGTTTTCAAAACGCTAGGAGCTTCATTATTTGCGAAGATTTGTCTAGTACGACCAGCATTAGTTGTTCCAACCAACATAAGTGCATTTACAAGATTCAAAAGTAGATTGTGAATACTTGCCCAAAAAAACGAGTGTAAATTGTCTTCAATGCACTTGTACATTATTTATTCAAGATAGGGAAGGAATAGAAATCTCGAATTTTCCATGTTGCGCTGTTGTTTAATGCCAATCGATCTAGTACTGATTTTCTTGCTTAATATTTCCAGATACACTAATAACTACAGTCAAACCCAAAGCCAAAAGCAGATGTGATATTTAATTTGCTTAATTAAGTTCCAAAATTGCATTGACGGATTCTGATCACATGTTATCAACAGAACTGAATACGAAACATCTAAGAATTAAATTAACATTATCACTATGAATATTTCTTCCTTTTGCCATCAAAATCACCCAACTGCGAAACAAGAATCATTTTTTTACATACAATGGTAAGAGAATGGGCACTCATAATTGCACTCAAATTTGTAATTCTTTTATCTTGGTAGTTCTTTTATGTATAGATATAGATATTTAATTTAATTTCTAGATATTGCCAATGTTTAATTCTTTATACAGGATCTGAGGTGCATACTTGTTTTGAGCCTGCTTTTGGCAATATTGATTTGCAATGAAGCCAAAAGTACTTGTCATGTTTATGAATTTCACCATTTTCCAAATTTTTTGAAATTTTTGTCGTTGTAAGAGCATTTTCGTCTTTTGTCGTTTTTCGTACCCGACACTGTAGAGTGTGCCGGTTGTGTCTGAGAGTTATTTGGGGCATTTCATTGAGTTTAGGACTTTTTGAAATGTAAGGGTGTTCATTTTTATATTTTTTCATTTTTCGGACTGGACGATTCCTTGTGGGACCTGTTACTGGAATTGTCGTGTGTGGGGATTTTATTTGGGTTCATTTACATCATATTTAATTTTATTTAATGTGTTATATAAGGTGATAAAAATTATTTAATGTGGGTATATGTATATGTAGTGTAAAATGTGAATAAAAGAAAAAGGAAAATAAAATAAGAAATTGGTGGGACCCACCTTAGTTTTAAAAAAGAATTAGAGACCACATTCTGGTCTCATTTCTCACCATTTTTCTTTTCTTTTACTTCAAACTTCAAATCTTGATTCTTCCCTCATCAATTGGAATTTTTGGAAACCGTTTGCGGCTCTACGAAGAGCACGACGAGGTCTACAATTTGATCGGAGCCAATCTCCATTTGGCCACCAATTTGGAGAATCTCTAAATCCTAGGGTTTGAGATGAAATTGGAGATTTTTGCTTAATTGGAGGTAGGGGTATCTAATGCATGCAATCTTTGATTTCGGTGAATTATTTCTCTATTATTTGACTCCACCATGTCTTAATTATATAATTTTGCTTGTGGTTATATGGGCTATGTGTAATAATCATGCTAGTTGTATTCTTATATGAGATATTAGTGCTATGAACGTGTTTTAATTGAAATTATATGAAAAAGCATGCTAAGTTTAAATTCCTTATATGCCTAAAATGTTATATATTATGAATTTGAGTTCGATTTTTGTTGAAACTTTTGAGTTAATTAGTTTATTTTACTTTATTTTGTATGCAAGAATAATGTATATAAAATATGTGGAAATTGATATTGACATGATAGGGAAAGGTATGATGCATTCATGCATGACATTGGACATGAAAAGGAGAAAAATTTGAGTTGAAATGAAAATTTGTTTTTGAAAAAAATAAAAGAGAATACTATGGGAAAGGTTTTGATGGAAAGTTCTGCGAAAAACCTAGTCGCCTAGAAGATTGCTTATGGGTCCGTGGCGTTAATGTGATCTAGAGAGAATTAGGAAGACTGCCCTAGCGTGGTTGAGTTAACTGGGCCCCAAATGACACCCTAGAGCTTGCCTTGTGGTCAGTGACAGTTAGCCAATCCTTCTCTTGTGCCGCCATGGAGTTGCCATGGGACGGATTGTATTAACGGTTTGGAAATGATGGCAGAAATGGTTTTGGTAAAATTGGGGAGTGACATTGCATCCTATTGCACGGCATAATTTAATTATGACTTGGATTGTCAAATTTGTTGCTATGTTTACCCTGGTATGGTATGATCCGTTTTTTTTTACTCATTGTGTGGATTCACGGGGTCACAAGAGGTGTGTCTTAGGCACCACCTACTGAACAATTTGCTCACCCATTATATTTATCATTTTTCAGGACATGGAAGGGAAATGGTGGATGGCGCTCCTCCACAAGGTTCGACCTACTGAGCAATTTGTCCACCCTTTATATTTATCATTTTTCAGGACATGGAAGGAAAGTGGCGGACGACACTCCTCCACAAGGTTCAATGGGTTAGTAGACCGTTTTGACATACCTTGTAACTATAATCTTATTATTATTTTATAAACCCTGGGATGATACGTATATTATGTATTGACATAGGAAATGATAGTAGTATCCTTAGTTGACTTCGAGTTCGGTAAGGATCCGATTAGCGATTCGGACCCTCGAATTCGGGTCGTTACAGTACTAGTTCTGTTACATTTGATGTTCTAGATTATGGAGCGGTTGGTGATGGAATCACAAATGATACACCAGTAATTGTTCTCAATTATTCCTTTTTATTTATTTTATTTATAATAATAATTATTATTATTTATTTTTATCCTCAAATGAATGAGACTAGCTCTCAAATTCTAATGCTTCTGCGCTTTGTAGGCATTTGTAAGGGCTTGGAATGCCACATGTAATGCAGAGATGGGGAGGGCAACAATGAATGTTCCACATGGAAACACATTTTTAGTGCGTCTCATAACCTTTGCTGGCCCTTGCAAGTCCAAACATATCAACTTTTTGGTAACGAGATCAAATTAACACTCAAAATTGATACTCAATCAATATTATTACCGACTGATGCGTTCATTCCTAATTTAAACACATTGCTGAGATACTTACTCAATATTATTATCGACTGATGTGTTCATTACTAATTTAAACACATTACTAACTCAGCGTCTTTGTTGGGCACTGATAAATTGGTAATTGCAGTCGCACAAAAAACCGATCATCAATTGTAATGGTTCGTTCTCAATCAATAGCGTGGATGACTGACACTTAATTTGTTACAGCTATCCGGTACAATTGTAGCTCCTGAAAGTCCTGATGCATGAAAGGGAAAGAATAAGGGACGATTGCTGATATTTCAGGGCGTGATTGGACTCAATTTAAGTGGGTCAGGTATGATTGATGGACGTGGTAAGGGTTGGTGGGATGTATCATGCAGTTATCATCCACATCAGGTACAATTTTTTTTTTTTTTTTCAAATACCCTTTTGATACCTAGTAATTTTGGTACCTTCAATTTTCATTATTTCATGTTTTATCAGAGGGATGTAACAAGCTTGCACCAACTGTAAGTACCACAATTTTTTTTGACGTCTCCATATATATATGTATATATATATATATACATATTCACACACACACACACACACACTCAAATAGTGTCACAAATTGTATAAGCTTGCATACCATGTTATGCACTCAAATAGTGTCACAAATTGTATAAGCTTGCATACCATGTTATGCAGGCACTCAGTTTTATAGAGTGTAACCAATTTTGTATGAGTAACATTTCAATTATAAATAGCCCTCAAACTCACATTCTTGTATCTGGAAGCACCTATGTCAACTTCAAATTCCTGATCACAAAATCTCCTTTTTAAAGTCACATTTCAAGCTCCGTTGGATTGTCTGTTGACGGGACAAACATTGGCACTGTTAATTTTATTTTTTTCCTATTTAAAGTCACTAATTAAAATCATTTAATTTTCATTATTGTAGAATTGTTAGACAACTATAGTTTATTCATATCAAACCTAAAAGAATCATTTCAAACCATTGCTTCAAATAATTGATCCATCCAATTGATTCAAATAATTTTCATTAAGGTGCTGTTTGATAAAACTTAAAATTTTAAGGACTGTATTTTAATTGCTGAAGTTTTTAAGTGGTAATTAAAAAATAAATACTTTTTGATATTTTTTTGAATTTTGAGTGTTCAGCATTAAGTGATAAGTGATATGTCA